GATAGTGAGTGCATTCATGAAAGCTAGAAGGAAAGAGCTTCCAGTAAACATGAATAACTGGCTAAATGAAGATGTGTAAAAACGGGCAGAACTTCTGAAACAAACCAGTGCTTTCGACAACTTCCAGACGTAGGACGGCACTAAGGATATGATCTCATACTGCACCGCTGTAGATGATAGATATTTTTGGTGCAGCCAACATTCTGATCATTTAGAATGTATATCTATGGCTCTAGCGTGAAATGCGTTGAATTTTGACAGCACCTGCAGTAGCCACCACCATTACTTGCAATACGGGACTTCGCATTTCTGCTATTTATGTCCCGAAAGTGTAACTGTTCAGCCACGATTTCTCGCATTGAACGTGCCAAGGTCATGTATATTCAGCAGTCCGGCTTTCTATTTTCAGTTGCCACGCCCGGTTTGGGTGAATGCCGTGTTCCGTGGTCACATTTGTGCGTATACGTCTTGCCTGTATGTTGTTTTTCTATTGTTGTAAACAGGGCGTAGGCGCTACCCGATCAGAGATCAGCGCTGATTCACTGGCATGCCCAACAATATAACCTACCTAGCAGCTCATGCTTGAGGGGAAAATATTCTAATCGTAACGCTCTTTGTGATCAGTGGTGCTAGTCCGTTCGTTTTACGTCATTGCTCGGTGTTTCCAGACACTGTACTGCCAAAAGTTTCATTTTTACATATGTTATCTTTGACGAACGCGCTCTGTTCCGTTTGTCATATGGTTTGCGCCATACTTGCTCTCGTTTTCGTTGATTGAAGCTTCGTTCTTCTTCGAATCTTCTTCTGTCTTCGACCACTACTAGAATCACATGAGGTAATCAGTAATAGATTTCACTGAAATTTCTCGCACTTCGTTGATGTCCAACTCTTGTGCTCGCGGTTTTTGCTAAATTCGAAAATCGTGACCCTGAAAAAGAATTTTCTTGGTACTGTCTGTAGTAGAAACCCTTTGAATACCTAATTGTTTTCGAAACTTATGATTTCGAAGTGCCAAACCCTATTCGAAACGTTTTTCCTCACGGATGATAGGACGAGTTTTGCGAACGAAAGCTCAAACATCACGTCTCCAAACAGCACATCTTGTTCATGCACCACACTGTTTGTGACTGCCTGGATAAACAGCTATAGGTCTTCTGTTATAGATCGGGAACACTACAAAAGATCTGCAGCGGTTGGGTGTAGCTTCATTTTTTCATGGCTCTAACTTCCATATCCAGAAACGGTGAAAAATCCCGGAAAAATGCATGGTAAAATCAATGCAGATTCAGAACATGAACTTGAGCACGGTGTGACTAATTCAGGGACTGTACACTGCGCTATAAGTACTATCTCACAGATCACGGTTGATTGTTTGAGATCGTAGTGCCGCCGACATTGTTTTCCAAGTTCATGTCTGCTCTCTGACCATTGTGAAACAGTTCTATTTTTGATACATGATTGCGCGTATCTTCCACTTGAATCCGGTTACACGCCACAGTTCTTTCTAATGTTTTGTTCTACCATGGACTCTCTCATGTAGGCTCTTTAGAACATGTGCACCTACGCTTTGAGTGCATAGAGTGAGAATTTTCAAGGCAAATTTAGCATTGTGTTTGTCGCTCTTTTGCATCTCCTTTCTATTCAGATTATGTCCACAAGCTGCACAGGCTCGTAGTATCATATTGGACTCGACTGTGTATTTAACATTTTTCTCGTGGGAGTCATTAAAGGCTCTTATTTTTGAAACCATATCGATTCCCATGAGGGCGATATGGCGATATTAAAACGAGATCTACCCAAAAATAGTTTGGTGTCTCTGGAGATGTCGGACTGAGTTTTTGCTGTAGCTTTGCGATAATTACAAACACACTTGAAAATACGCCAACGAATCGCAAATTGCACCATCATTTTGTGTGGCTATCATGCTATGTCTAGCCTCTAACATCTTGGCACAAATAACATTTCGACGAATAGGAACACATAATTAGCCTAATAAAGTCTACGTTTCCCTATCATCCATCACCTCATCACCTTACCCCCCCCCCCCTCTTCCCTCTGAAGAGTCTTCGTCTTTGGCAAAGGGAGCAGTTTGTCATATATATAAAATATATATCCTGGTAACTGAGCAATAAATCCGTATGCTGCCAATCATCATGGATTCAACAGACGGTAAGTCGCAAAGGAATCTGGTCGTCTGTCAAACTAACTCTAATCCACTTTATTGCTTCCTTGTTTGAACAATAATCTCCAGCATTCTTGCCCAACATTTTACTTCTTCAATTCTATAGGCATCTTTGAAACGGCTTTTGTTGATGAATGAATATTTCTGTGAACATCTAGGTAAATTTGTTCGTGTTTTTGTCTGAAGCTTTGAAGAATACTCACAGAGGTTGAGGTTGAGAGAGATCTTTTGTCAGAGGTTGAGTTAAGCATTAAAAACTTCTCCAAAACCCTTATCTCAAGATTGCTCTCTCATCGTACCAAGACCGTCGTCACAGCGCCACTGATCTGCGAAATCAACTACGTCATCGAGCCCTACCCGCCTGTCCATGCGAGGAAGACCGGCGATTGCTTGGCTTAGTGGTACGGCGCTTTTCTTCCGTGGTCGTGGTTCGATCTCTCACTGTTCGATCTTTTCATGCTCTTATTTTCACTTACATGTAGCCACCTAGCACTTTAATCTTCCGAACAACAAGAGGTCTCCGTTCACCCGCGCACTTCACCGCCTGAGAGTGTTTTCTGATCAAGACTGTCCGTCCTGTCGCAGCTACGCCTGCGCACTGATTTAAGCGAGTCCACGAGGAGTCCGTTGACGTTACTCACGAGTTACTGAGGTATTTGTGAGGGCGATGAACTCGACGTACCTTTGTGCAACACCTACGTCCTCCTGCACGGCTTTTGCACGACTTTTGCAAACGGCGGATCTGTTTGAGGATCGCTTCGCTTCATGTGACAAACACTACCTGCACTCGCCCCCTCTCATTAGCGCTACAGTGGACAACGCCAGACAATTTCGATGTCCATCGCACACGTGCCCTCTCGACAGTCATGTTACATTTTACCTCGGTATAATAATTGTTTTCTCTTCATAAGCCGTATGTAGAAAACTCTATATCCACTCAGTTATTTCTGCGCATGCATTTTAAATCTAATCCCTTTTCCATAAATAATTCCACTTAATGTCCACCTAAGTTCGTTCCACCTTCCGCATAGCCGTTCTTTGATTCCTAACATTGGTTTCCGTGTTTCCTTTGTTCAAGTCGAGATGCATTGTTTCCTCTGTAACGGTTCTTTAGTAATCAAGAATGTTTTGTTCTTGAAATTTGCGGCTGATTTATGGGCATTTTCTATCAATTTTCGTACGATCTTGATTTTTTATCGCTAATTTTTTCACTTTCCATGTCTGGAGCCTTCACAAACCAGATGAGCTGCTGTTAAAAAATTTATTTTACCAAGAACTTTTGAAATTTTACTTTATCAAGAAATTTTGGAATTATACAAAAATACTGTTCTGACTGTGCGAGAATTTTTATCAGCATGCATTTTGAGAAAAAATTCCAAAATAAAGAACGCGAATTGAACCTTGTTAATTACCAGAAGGTTTTGTGTCTCAAAAGTTAAACTGTTCCGATTTGGCCATTCTTACAGGAGTATACATCTTAAATTTTGTGAATTACCATCCTTTAGAGTTCAGTAATCAAGTTTTGGTACGAGCAACCTCAACAGTTGTATGTGAATGATAAAATATTTGCGCTTTATGAGCTTTTCTCAAAAAACAAAACTGTGACCATCTTTCTTATAAAGGTATCAGGATTTATCCTTCTGCAGCAGCCAGCAGCTGCAAAAGTGCAGTTTTATGATATTTTCCAAACATTAGCGTGGGCACGTTTACTTGTTCCGCTTTGGAGACACTGTTCTTTGCGCTAACTGCAATTCAAATTCCAGACCATTTTATTTAAACACCCTCATTTGTTGTTTTAGTTGCTCCTGCGGTCTTTTCCATTTCATCATCGACCACGACAATGCGGTGAAGTTTTCGAAATTCTGACTGAGGTAGGGAACTCACAAGCCCTATAGCTCATCCCCGTTTTTGAATCATGGTTCATCTCGTATTCTGTTGTAAATGTTCTCGAGCAGTGCGGTTACAACCTCTCCACATTCGTCCGCTACTGCCCTCTGCAACAGTCACGTCTGGCACTTGTTCGTTTTAGGGCCGCATGCACTAACCTCCCCGCGGGGAGGTTAGTGCATGCGGCCCTTAGTTTGTCAGATGCAATGAACGTTTGAAAAAAACCTGTTTCAAAGGTCATTCCTTGTTCTTGTGTTGTCACCGGTCATTCCGAACTTGGTTCTGCCCGAATTCTGAGAAGGAATTTTTTTCCGAAGTCTTTGTTGATGTACAGCTAGCTTCCTGCATGTAAAGAACTTTCTCGGAAATGTCCCAAGCTTTAGACTTTCTGATATGGGCCTGTAATTTGTTATTCTGTGTTTCCTTCCTTCATTTCTTCGAAGCTCCCACCCTCATAAAAAGATGTCTTCAGCAGTGATTGGTCGGAACTAACTTAGTACAAACTTGATGACAAAGGTGTTTTAACCACGGTTACGGTACTGCACAGAACTTGCTCATGATTCAAAATCCACAGTAAATGAGTTTTGATAGATACTGAACTGTTAGTTTTGCATAAGAAAAATCATAACAAACCAACTCTAGCATATGAATTCTCCTTTCTTCATTTCTCTTTTGTTATTAAATAGTTTAGCATGGCGGTCTCCTTGCATTCGAATTATATGTCCATTCCTTTCATACCGAATGTTGACTCAAATCAACAAAATGCTGTTTGCTGTTGAGAACTCTGCTGCTATATAGCACTGTAGACCTACAAACTTCGAACACTCACTGATGTTATTCTGGGCAATGCATGGCTATTTTTAGCGGGATGGGGAGGAGCGAAATAGAAAGCTGTTGCGATGTTTCATAGTTTATTGAGAACACCAATCTGATGCCTGAACGAAATAGAACTTTTCTCAATATATCAGGTTAGTTGGGCTAATTTTCGAAATATTAGAATTGGCTCAAATGCTTTCTGAGCGATCAACCGATATCTATAGCTGCTCTTTTGGCTGGCGTTTGCGTGGAACTCCCCTTCTTAGGAGTCCAGAGGTCGAAATACACCTCAACATCATCCAAAACTTGATTTGGAATTCAGCAGACTTATTTTTCTTTGCGAAATGTCTGATGACGCAAAAGCTGTTATCTGCAAACTTCCTCTCGTTCTCTTGCGACGAGTAGTTTGGCGATAATTGAAAATAAAAAAATAATCTTGAAATTGATTGTCGTAAGATTCAAATCGTTCCCTGAATAATTCCTTTCAGATTCCTACTTGTGATGTCCTTATCCACAGTATTTTCTGTTCCCTAGAGTACGAACATCTTCGCAAAAACTTTACCGCTGCTTGTTGAATTCCATCGTCCAGACTATCACGGGACAACCGTTCTCAGCAAGAAAATGTCTGAGAATTTGTGCGCACGCGCGTTCCAGCACTTGTCTCTTTTTCTTATCACGAATTCATATCTCTCTCTCCCCACTGTGGGTGGCGTTGAACGGGCAGTGACTCAGCCGACGGTAACCCATGTACACACTCGAAAAACCGCTTCTGTTCGTGTTCTTCTGCCACTGATGGCTCGCTATCTAATCTCTGCTTTCATTTTAATATTCACGTCAACGTAGCATTATCGTACATGTTCTACGCAAATAGCCTTTTGACGTAACCCTGACGCAGTCATCCGAACGTCTTTCCCGAACGATTCATGCGCTTACATCGAACAAAACTCCGTAATTCCATATTTTCGAAGTTTTTTGCCGAATTTGTCGCTCTCGCTTTCTCTGTGTCGCATGTCCGAGTTGGCATTGAACATCGATTTGTCAATCACACTATTAACCAGCTGTTTATATAGGACTACACGACTGCATGTTTGTACCAGTGGAATCCACGTCTGGCCCAGCACATCCAATGCCATCCACCAAAGAGATCACTATCGTTTGCTTGCTCTTTGTAGCTGTCATCGTTTTTCAGGTAATTTTCTATTTTTTAGTTATCTATTCCAAATAGACATGTTGTGCACCAGTAGACGAGAGAAAAATGGATGAATATATATCAGGTCATTTCGCAAGTTTTTCCGTATTTTCCATCAATAAAAATGGTCGTCAATTTTTGCACAAAAGCAAGTGGGAAATTGAGGCTTATACTTTTGGTAGCGAAACGTGCAAAATCGACCAGAAGTTTCGGATGTTCTTTTCTCGGAAAAGAGCATTCTAAAAGTTCTGTTGCTCCAAGTTTTTGTGTCTAGTGCGTTAGTCACAATGGTTCAAGAATGTAGCTGCGTTCTATTTTTAGCTCCAGTTCGCTCTAAAAAAGGAAACTTGCAGTAGTTGACTTTGTTCGATGACTCAGCCAAAAGTTTGTTTTCGTAGCATCTTATCTGTTGCGCAAGAGTTTGCACCATGTCCCACACTCCCCTTTAGTGGCGGGGGGGGGGGGGAGGGGACAAGTCTGCGATTTTTTAAGCGGGGAGCGATTTCGCAGAGAATCATATTACGCCTTGGCTTATGGGAAAATCTGTCTGATATATGTTTTTTATATGTTTTTTATAATCAAACTACTACCATCTTCGAAATCTAGCACTTCCACAAATAATCCGATTGCGGTTCGGATCAAATGGCTCATAAATGACAGATAAATGGCAGCTAAGCGCCAAAATTCGCGTTTCATTTTCTTTGAATTATTTAAGTGCTAAGATTTTTGATCATTGTGCATAATCTCCTAAATTCCAGGTCTATGTCTTCCTGAAACTTGACGATCCCCAAAACAGCGTTGAAGAAATCGACAAAGAGCGTCGAGAAGAGGAACGAAGGCGACGAAACGATCTTTTAATGAAAGCGCTGAGTGCTTTCTGAACATACTGATAAAGTTGTCAGAAACTCCGCCACGTTCAATCCCTATGATCTCGTACGACAGGTTGCCACAACGCACAAATACACAAAAGCACAAATCGACACGCAGCTTTCGCTGTTTATTGTTTGTTGAATAGTTGATTATCGTTAGATATTTGTGGAGAAGTTCCTTCTATGTGTATGTACAGTTTTTTTTTGTGATATAATTGTGATAAGCTGTGCCTTTATTTGCATCCTTTGTGAAACGGTGTTTTTAATAATGTAATATGCGGGAAAAATTGTTCTTTACTCTCTCGCGTTTACTTCTTCTCCTGGTTGTGTCAAGAAGTCGAGAGTCATCATTGCTACTATTCATTTTTCGTTATTTTGCCTTCTCATCGCTTTCTGACTCAGTCAATAAATCTTTTTCATGATTGCTGTGCCGATGTCGAGAAATTAGCAGCGAGACTGCAAACAGTGATGATTTGCTTCAGTGAATCATCTAGTCACTCATAGACATTAAGTGAAATACATTCATGCGAAAATGAGCCACATTCCAGAATAAAAATCTTATCTTAGAAATGCTTCTATTAGGTTTATTTATGAGTCTTGCACCAAAGATCTTCAAATTTATTTTGTATATTCATAGAAAACGTGCTTTTCATTATATATTTCTTTGTGACAGATGAGTTCCAAGATTACTATGCATACTAGAGGTATTGTGAGATACAAAATCAAAACGTCACAAAGCTCGAAAATCATAATTGTTAGCTATATGATCAACAATCGTTCCTTTCAGGGAAAAAGATAGGTCCTAATACCACAAAAAGTAAAACTAACTTCTTTTGGACCTAGCATTTTTAGCGACCCCTGAAAAAATACTATTTGACTGTTTTGATTTTCAGCTTGTATCTCTGTAATTTTAATGTGGATTTTGCGTGAAAGATAATTAGAAACAATTGATGCATGATTTTCTCTAAGGCATGTTGCAACAAACCAACGCAGGAAAATCACGATTCTCGAAGCTTTTGCTGCAGAAGTGTGGACCAATCCAGTAAGTCCGCAACTGCTTGAAAGAAGGAAGACGACTCACTATAGCGCAAGCTGTACAGTGGTATTTATTCCAAGTGTTAACTTTTGCTACCTTTACTCCAAATGACTGCTGGTGGTACTTCCCTTCTTATTTTTACCCATTTCGCTATCGTTTACACCATACTTAGGGGTAGAATGCTATACCAAACACTTGTTGTTCTGATCGTCGTTCACCACACCACAAGTGCATGTTTTCGTTCTCCTTCGTTCAGGTTGATGAGTAGACAGAAAAGTGCGCTCCTATGGGCGCAGGGTTTGGCACGAGGTAGCCCTAATGATGCAAAAAACGAAGTCCGTGTATTCGAAATTTCACGAAGTCCCCTTTGACCCTCATCCGAAATATCCGTATCGCATGATCGACTGAAAAAACGAAACGTAGACTAAAAAAGGGAGGCGTGCAAGTGGTACCCGGGCAGCCGACTGCTGACGCCGCCGGCCGGCGGAGCTGCCGGCAAAGCCTTTAGACGGTACAATAATTACGGCTCATCGTCTAAAACTCTTGCCGAGAGGTTTCCCCCCACCTTGTTGCGTGAGGTGAGATACTAGCCTCAGGGAGAGCGTGATATCCTCGATGTCTATACCATTTAATAGCAGAAAATCTATATTACAATGAGAGGCATGCAATCGTATACGAAAATATACACGAGGAGCGAGCAAACGTCTCTGCAGGAGTTTCAGACGGCAAACGTAATTCCTGCATCAACTGCAGCCGCTTTGCCGGCAGGCTCCGACGGCTGGCTGCGGCAGCAGTCGGCTGCTCGGGTATCAGTTGCTATGCACCCACTAAAAAAACATAATCTAGGACTCACAAAAACGACATCTCCTTTGCCTTTTTGTCCGAAAAAACGATATCCAGCTCATAATCCACCTGTGGTGAGGCCTGTATGGGCGTGTGCTAAATTTTTACCTTAGGATATCTCGGTGGTTGTTCCTTTAGATTTTGTGGGACAATTCTAGTATCGTCGTATCCTCTTTTTGTCTTCCTCACTAACCATACTGACTACTTTCTTTGAAATATTGCCACAAATCATCACTTCTCTGCAATAAAATCTTATCATTTTGCGAGCTATAGAAAGGTTTTTTAAATGTAATGACGTGATTGTTGGTATACTTCTCATCTTACGTGTCCCTTGGAGAAACCACTTTGTGAAGATAAGATGCTTCAACACAGTTATTTTCAAGAACTTCCGCTTCCGGAAGCCAATCCTCCAGACAGATAACAAAATCGGGTTCTTACGCAGGTCCGGTTGTTGCGTACATGAAATAATCTCATTTTTGGTGACATAAATGGTCAAAAAGCACTTCGGTGGTAAACAATATTGTTCCACTGTTCTCTGGCTCAGATCTAATCAGACTTTATCTACACTTTGCACCGGTGTTTGGTGAATGCAGTGATCACTGTCATCAGAAGAAGTGCATGTACTAGGTCCTCCGTGGTTGTGAAATAATTCTACGGGTTATTTCATAACATTTTGCATGGTTAAGCTGTTTCTCCCAAAAACTCTATGGCAAACAGAGGTAGATATTTTGTTTAGCTTTCCGATTCCAGTCTGGATAAATAAAAAATTGATGGACATGAAAAAGGAGTATATATCACCTCTTTTCTATCCCCAGGTGCTACCAATGACTGAGAATCACAGATTAGCGAAAAAAATATTCGTATCATGTAATCTTGTATATAAAGTTGCATATCTGTTTGTTTGTCTGTATGTCTGTACGTATGTGCGGAATAGAAATTTTTATCTGTGAACCGATTTGGACCAAACTTGGCTCACATATACTTCGGGGCAGGGAGCGTGCCACAGGCTACTTTTCGTTATCGATCGATATCGATTTTATCGATATTTATCGATTTTTTTTTGCAGAGTTCACCTACGGGGCTGGGAGTTGGCACGGGGGGGGGGGGGGTAAGTGGGCATGCTGCTTTCGAAAACAACACAAGAAACGGGAAATGAAGTGTAGAAGTGGGCACAGGGAAAGGCTGTACAGGGATAGGGATGGGACCTTTATCACAGTGTTGACAGGACCGAGCGCAGCCGGAGCCAAGCTAGTGGCATATATAATATCGAAATTCCTTGCCTTCCGGGCAAAGTTTTACGCGTTTTTCTTACTTTGCGTCAAGCACTGATCATACCACATCCACTCTCCACTCTATTTTAACAAGTTGCTACTGTCGAGTTGCTTACACTCTTGTTTTTCGGTAACTAGAGATCATGTTCTAATCAAGCAACTGACTCATACCATATATCACCTGATAACGTGAATGACACCTCTCCAGATGTCTCTCTCCTGTACTTGAAAACACGTCAAAAGATCACGCACAGATTGAGACCTAGCTTCCGCATATTAACTTCGATATCATTATGGTTGAAAGTTCTGAAAGAGGGGAAGAAAGAAATGGAGAAAAGAGCTTGGACGGATGCGAATTCCTTTGAGCAGATCTCCACAATTTTAGTGGATGACTTTCTGGGAAATAATACATTCGCAATTAACAGGACAGAAACAGCTTCCTTAACTGACAAACTCTAAACGGCACTTGAAATCATAGATAAATTGGACTTACTTCGTGGGTTAATTAGCCGACCTTGCTTCCAGTAGATACCAAAATTAGAAACTCACTTCTGCGAAAGCGAAAAACATTTGCGCGTTGTGCAACAAAGCTTCGATTCATGCGAATGGCAGCTATTGTGTATGGTTGACTTGTACAATTGTATCATTAATCAAAACTTGACATATGACACAGCCCCCTTTGCTCATTGAGAAATTCCATTCAGCATAACCCATTCAAAAAAGCGGCTCATCGTGATTCGTCATGCATAGGACAAACGTTTGGAGAGATGAATGAAACGATTCAAAGGCAACTTTCTAGAGGTGGGAACTCAAGCAAGAATATCATTCAAGGAAATTTACAATGTCAAATAGATATGGTCTCGATATGAAATAAAGCGCTAATTCGAAAGGTTTACTGGGCGTTAGGACTAACTTTTTGAGAACTTTTATGCGATTACGAGTGCAGTTATCAAAGCCTTCTACAATCGCCAGCCTCTGATTCATAAAGCTCCCTCCTCACAAAAGCCGCAAAGGTGGCCTTGAAGGAAATATATTACATAGATTTAGCTGTAACTGTTCCCTTGAACATAGAGATTTAAGGATTTTCTAATGCTTAAGATGCATCTTGACGAAATGGACGCACTTTTTAATCATCTTCGATATCGTTTCCAACCTAAAGCTGAAGTGGCCGTTCCATATAATCTGCACATCAATGTGAAATCAGCGGGGAACTATCTCCTCTGCTACTAGTTTCTCAAATCAAATCTGTAGAAAAGGCACTAAAACTATGTACCTTCGCTCCGAGCTACATTACTGGGTGAACTTGTTGCAAGTTTGAATTGATGAAATTTATGCTGCTTAAGAATTTTCTCCAAACCTTCGCTAGTCCTTTATAGAGAATTGCCAGGTAGACACTGTGGATATATCTAATACCGGATCGAAGATGTAACTACATTCAGAATATCTTATGGAGTCATTTGAAAAAACTTACCCTCCCAAATCGCAACAAGGGGGGGGGGGAAGGCGTGTTGGTTTGGAGTGCGGACATGACCCGTTGAGATTAGTCCGACTATGAAATAAAATTTGACCTTTATCATTTTGAAGTGCTACCAATTTATCTCGTGAAAATGGTTTTTTCTCTAAATTTATTAGTCAGTTTCTCAGATCATTTATCCATCTCAAATACATCAAGTAGAAAACTAGCTTCTAACAGCTGGTATTGCGCTGTTTCAGCTCTTTTACAGCTTTGATGTAATTCTTTCATGCAAAATTCTCAGAAAAAAGTGGACTTGAGGAGTTTATAGCCTGCATTTATAATATGTATTCCCTGAACTACTTTGAGCACCTATTTGTTCATCCGAATAAATATGGGGACCTTATGGGAATCGTTCCAATCAAAATTCTGAGTTTAGTAGAATTTCTAATATTCATATGATTCCAAAATGCTTGAGAGAAAAAACAGCCAAACTTTCGAGATGCCGAGAATTCAGATATTGTCCTCTCATCAGAACATTTCTCTAATAGCCTCATTTCGAAATCGCATAATCGTCACGTCTATGAAAGCTGCAAGCTCAGACAAACCACCAGAGATGCTAACGTGGTGAGACCTCTTAAGATCCGGACTGCGGATGCACAAAAGTCCTAACAAAGGAAAGTGGAAGAATATTAGAGCAGAAAATATTATGTAGATAGCAAACATTTGGCGAAGGTCACACACATTTGGATAAGAGTATGAACTTTACGAAGTAGGAGAGATTCCTCAGAGGCCACTAAGGGACATGTGCCCTGACTGACTTAGGACATGCCCTCCATTCAGCTAAGTTTTTATGATATCTTATACCTTGTTCCGAATCCTCGCGCGTACACACCACAGATTAGGTGCCAGATTTCTTCGCTACTCTCTTCTCAGTGACTCGAAATTCCAGAAGAGAATTTGCCACTCGTTCTCCACATGAGCTTTTCACATTTCTTATAATAGCTTTTGAGCGTACAGGGGAAATGATGTGACACATCTGATTTGGTGTCACATCATTGCCCCTGTGCTGTTATTTAGTCGATGTTTACCATGTTTACCACTCAGTATAAACACATGGTCTTTGAATTTCGCGCCTTGAGCATGATCGCATTTGTTCAATCGTGTCAATAGCTTGTTCGCCAAGTTGCTGGGGTTGCTGGGATATGAACGATTTTGTACTGTATACCCTTTGGATTTCGTCCGAGACTCCTCTATGACATTTCTTTCTTGGAAAGTGGGCAATCACTTACTCCAGGATAAAGCTTTTCAAGATATTTGTCATGGATTTGCATGAGGTGGAAGAAAACCAAGTGAGATCATATTAGTGAATAAAGTGGGGGTATAGCTTCTCCTAGAAAAACTCTGTTTCTCTCGTTTTGTTGTGCTCTGTATAGCGAAAAAAATTCCAGCAAAAACGAGCGCAAAAACTGCGCAGCTGGCACGCAGAGCGAATGTCTTGGAGTTACGATATGAAGATAGATTTTTCCAAATCTTGTACCTCACGCTCGTCAATCACTGAAAACCTGAATATCATCTACATTCTTTGCATGATACTTGATCAGAAGTAGAAACTCATAGCTAATTTTAATTATAATTTCTACATATATTACCGGGCTGAAAGTATAATAACTGTTTTTTCAAGTAGATAGAGCTAGTTATTACCAATGCTTGCATTACGTGAGTACAGGGTATAAGCAATTAAAACTGTATGCATTTTTAGGCATGTCTTTTATTCCAACACTGCCACAGAAACTGGCTGTTTTGTATAGAAAATTGTCATAGTAAGTCCCACACTCTCAACGAAGCTAATCATGCTGCTTTTTTCGATAGCACGACGATCGTGGAAGCGAACGGGATACAGTAAATTTCAATTTCAATTTTCTTATCGATGGCATGATATTACACAACATCGAGAGTGACATCATGCAGACAAACATACTGTGTGATCGGAACAAAAGCCAAAAAAGCCGTTCAGTCGTCGATGTGGGGACAGCTGTAACCAACAAAACGCGTCACTTCATTTAAATGCTGTCTTCTGCCGAATCAACAGCAGTAACGTTTCTTCTTCGATGGACATCTAGGTACAAGAGATAGAACATTTATAGTCGAATCTTTTGAGACACTGGTATGATTTGAAATCATGAAAGATTGAAAAGAATTCATATTTGCGTAGCGATAAAAAAAATCCCCGCAAGGGAGTAAGATCGGAGTAAGTAGTCATGGCAAGTGTTAAGAATTTGATTCAGAAAATTATTACAAAGTACAAAGCGATTTCTGTAAAGATGAGATATGTCCCCTGTGGAGAATACACTATACTCATCTAAAACGGTCTGGAAGATCTTATGCAGCGTTACAGCTTAGAATAGGGCACATCTGTGATTAAATCCTAGTGGAAAACAAGTTCAACCGAAACTATACCCGTACTCTATGCGCCTCAACAATACAAACGAAGAAGATACAATGATGAAAAAGGTCAAATTGAGAACGAGATGGAAGCAGATTAGATTACCTTGATTAAGCAACTAGAACAAGTAAGTGACTAGTTAGAAGAGAAACGTAAAAGAGTTTATTCCTTGCAACCCCTGTAGAGGGTAGGATCCATGCGAAACGTGAAGCGGCCCGTGAGAAGCTACCGCGAGAACTCTTTGATATAAATTCGTTCGGTGTTTTTGGGCGAGGACGGGGTGGCCGTGCTGAAGCCGTTCAGACCTTCGCGAGGGTCCGGCTCAGGGGCGAGCCATTGCGAAAGGGCCTCTTGCCGATTACATTCTTCGCCGAGGTCCAGCTCCACTCGTTCCAGCAGCTGCAATGAGGTAAGGTGCTCCAAGCTTTGTAAAGATATATTCACAGTTTTTAGATTTCTTCCAAGTCTATGTAATGGCAGGAGCTAGCGCAAAACGCAACGCTGCGCACGAGTAAGCCTCTAGGTACCGTACACTATGACGTGTGGGGACCCCACTGCATACAACCTCACTATACCCTTAGTGTTCGTCTTTTCCTCAATTAGTTTCAAAACCTTGTAATACTTTTCCTGCTTGTGCACTCTTACAATTTTGTCGATGATATTCTTTGTCCCCGTTGCCGCGCTTACCGTTTCTAGGAGAGTAATGCTGAATATACGGCATACTGTAGAAGGGGCCAACTCCCCAGAGGTGTGATTGCACTACGCGGGCTCTGGCCATTACACATGTATAGGCGCCGTAAAACCTAATTGCCCGCGCCGTGCCTTGAACACCAGCGTAAGCGAGCGGTCGTCGCGAACGACTGTTGGCGTTCACTATATTCCAGGAAATCTTTCTTTAGCTTTCATGTTGTTCTCGTCAATGCAAGGTATATCTTGACGAAAGCTCCCTTCACAAGTTTAAAAAAATATGTGTGGAAAGGGTGTGCGCTCATTGTCGCCCGCAAAAAGCCTGTAGCGCTTCGGGACCAAACGTTCCCAGCCGCGCCACGCCTTGGTGTTCAAAGCGACGCGTGGGCAATTGGATTTTAGGGGCCTGTACATGTGCGTACAAAATTGTCCCATTTTGTTACCATTTTAACAAAATCAGCAGTTTTGTAGAGCTCACCTGTGGAGACGCTTTTCGCAACTGATCCTTCAAATGATGTATGCACTGAGTGAAATTCGGTCGTTCATTTGGATCTTTATCCCAACATCTCATCATAAGGTCAAATCTGTAAAATTTTCATCATGTCAACTCCCAATCTGCCATCTAGATATTTTTGCCTCGCCCTAATTATTTTACCCAATCCGGGTTCGGCAATAACATTCAACATACATTAAAGCTAAATATTCTGCGTATTTTACCCGGAAAACAGCGAAAACTTACATATCATCGTGACAATACTGTGGCTTCGAGTTTCTATGTCCTTCAAGCAGCTTGTTGAGAAGATCCTCGTTTGCTATGGTGGGGTAAGGAAGTCCACCAAGGGTGAAGATCTCGTACAGCAAAATGCCAAACGACCAGATATCGGACTGTAATGTTATTGCTCGAATGTTTCTGTGAATCAAATACAAATGGAAATTTCATACACAAGAATTGGGGAGCGAGGAAAGTATGAGTAAGGGTTTGAAATAGCAAATCTTGGATCACACGAGACCAGCATTTTGACCGTACCCTAAGCCAGATAAACCGCTCATCAAACAGCTTGAAATTTCTACTCGAAATATGGTGTCTCCACGAATGACTAGTAACGATGCTCTCGAAGAGCTCAAGAGTAAGGGTAGGCCTCAAGGTTGACTTCCCATAAATGGTCAAAAAGGCTCTAATAACACAAAGATAGGCATTTAGCTTTCAAAAATTCAGGAATGAGAACGAGATTCCTTCTCAAATGCCTATGTCACTTCGAATCTCTTTTGAATTATTTGCAACGATGTAAGTCCTTTTTACAAATCCCACTGTACAATTTGTTGGACTAAACTTCGCCTTAAAGGCAACGTCCACCCTAAGTTGAGGGTGTTGAGCTTTTGGCAGTATATAACAGTAGGGCCTCCTATCTAGTCAATGCCCAAGTCGCGGCGCAAAATGCCGCTTCGGAATCGAGAAAATCGCTTCGGAATAGCGAAGATGCACGAGGACCCCCATCCATGCCCGCCCATTTGTGCGCGCTCATCCAATCACCGTTCTCGAAAGCCGGGTTCTCCGGAATGGGGATTTTCGGGATTTTCGTTGATTCTCGAGTTCATATTTGGAGTCAGGGACATGAGAAGGCTATGAAACAACAAAAACCTGGAAGTCGAGAATCTGGGTGGACGGTGCCTTTAACAGTTTTCAAACTACTGACGCGTCTTCAGCGCTTTTCGTGACAGTAAGTTTGTGCGTTCCACTAATCGAAAGATATTTAAAAGAGCTCTTAGAGAACTTTCAACTAATGTACCACATAATCTATATCCTCGTCATATGGAAACCTTCGAATTTGGAAACGGCAATCTATAGACGGACATGTTCACTTGTCGTACAGTTTGTGACATGGACAGACTAATTAGGAAAGGTATGTTTCCGCCAAAGCTATCTCAGTTCAAGACGGTCCTAAAGAGTTATTTACAGTCCATTAGCAGCGTTGATACTACCGCGGGTTTGTAATTTTGATTCTCACAAGATTTCGTATTGTGCAAGTGTTCTCGGTTTGTTATTCATACTATTTTGTGTTGTTGTTGGCATAGGTTGACCCTATGATATAAATAAGTAAAATGCACCACTGGATGCAGCTATGAGTGACACGTTTGTTACGATACCTCACCTCTAAAGTATAAACACCATCCTGAATGGCCTCGATCGCCATCCAACGATACGGGACTAGCACATTCTTCTTGCGCAACCTGCAACAGTTTTTGTAACAACTTATTAAATCGAATAAGTTGCCATCATGATGCATGATTCACTAAGGAACCAGAGTCACAAGCAGGAAAAACATTCTGCTTTATGCTGCAAAAAAAGCACTAAGTTTCGAGAATGAGATGAATATTTGTTTCAGAAAAGATGGAAAACAAAATTTTGATGAGCTCAAGCTCTGATCGCAATCATGTGCCTAAAAATCCCAACTCTAAAAAGTATGCTAAGGCCCCTCGTTTAAGGTGAGCTAAACGAACCTGTAGTAATTCTTGTTTTCATTCTTTGCCATGCCAAAATCGGCAATTCTGCATATTCGCTTGCTTGTAAGTAACACATTCCTGGCAGCAAGATCCCGGTGAATGCACTGAAAATTATATTGAAAGAAAATTCTAATCAAGGAACTATCAACTGCAGAAGCATACCGGTATAGATGAAAGATACTCCATGCCATTAGCGACTTGCATCCCAAACGAAATCAAATCACTGGTAGCCAACATAGTATTATCAGCTAGCAATCGATCTGATTCCATATCATTCGACCAGTCGGGGATTTGCTCGGACTGCAATAATTGCATACAGCTAAACTTCTGACCAAATGGTTCTTGAAAACTAACAGCGTAATGTGTTTTCACTGATGAATCAGGGCGTAGATAACCATCGTCAGGTACGGCGGTCTGTTTCAATTCGTTTATGAACTTGTTTTTATATTTGAGCAGGTAATCCTTGAGATTTCCGTTGTCGCACAGTTCCACGACAACATATAGCTCTCCTCTGGAAAAAATAATTTAAAAACTTTCAAAAAATGATTTAGAAGTTCACGCTTACCCTTTCATGTTTTTGGTTATCGCTCCTATGAGTGCTAACACGTTCGGATGTTTTCCTATAGCGCACATGATCTTCAGCTCATCAGCTAGCATTTTCTGATGCTGGACATTAGTACCAACCAAAGGGCCTATAGAGTAAATTGTCTCTTACTCAGAACAATACCAATCTCAGATAAAGCTTGGAGATCTCGCAAATCATATCTTGAACCCTCACACCCTTCTGCATTATTTTCTATCGCAAAATGTCAACAGCGACTGTTTAAGGCTGCGTTGGTTGTCCGCGTGCCAGCGCCGTGAGAGCGCGGAAGCATGGAAGCTTCCGGTATTGATTGATCGACCCTACCACGGCGCCAGCCCAGTGCTGGCACAGGCAACTCTCGTCACAACTTTATACGCAGTTCTTAGCAAAATAATACCTTTGACGGCCACAGGTAGGCGAACTTTTTCCGCCATCGAATCGCTGACCCGAGGTTTCGCCAACCAACCCATCCAAACTTGACCAAACTGGCCGCATCCCAGCTAAATAGGAACGTAAAGGAAAATTTTGACAAAACGATGAGTTGAGTAGACAACGACTTACTCTATTCCCTATTTCAAGATTGTCTCGTTCCAATTCATACTGTCTATTGTATGGCAATTGATAGACACGTTGATCTAACGGTAACTTTGGACCACTTGGAGGAGGACCTTCAGCCGTTTTCATTAATTGTTCATAGAGGACGTTCAGAGCTCTGAAACGTTGAAATATAAGAGAGACAGATAAACTTTTGGGATCCGTTTATCAGAGCTGCTACATGGTCTATAGATGAAAAGTACTGTTCTATCAAAGCTGAAAAACGGTCTTTTGCGCAGATTTTTTGCACTTCAAGTCATAAAAGATAGAATTCGGTCTCAGGCTTCTCCAAATCTGCGGAGGTATTATCTCCTCAAATTGGAGTTCGGGATTCGATTTCCAAGAAGAAAGATGCCTCACAGAGAAAATGAATTTGATTCTGGCATTACAACTATAAAACATCAGCTGCCATCAATTTGTGAAGAATCTTACAATATAACACCCGCTTACCTCTCCTGTTCAATAGCTGTTTTTCGCTGCTTAAAGTACAGTACCAAAGCTGTTATCAAACAGCATAGCAATCCCAACAGTAGCATGAAGATCATGAACAAGAAAGAGCTTGACACTCTTTTTGGCGCCCCTTCCACCTATAGCAGTTACATGAAGAGACATCAGTGCGCAAAAAAAAATTTTTTTCGGATTCTTTACCTTCGCTGCAAATTTATACACAATAGTGCCAGCTCGGTTTGTGGCCACGCATTCAAAATCTCCTTTATCCTCAGCAGCCACCCTCGCTATATGAAGCCGCCGATTGTCTGGTGACAGTTCGCCACCTTCGTAGGGTCTATCATCTTTGAACCTACAAGATGCCTTTTAAGATTTAATCTACCTAGGGTAAATTCTCTCCCCCTACCATCTGTAATCTGGTCGTGGCGTGCCGTCAATATTGCACTCAAAATCTGCTGGTTTTCCATATTCCAGATATCTCGGTTTCTCAGGATCAGACTGGGTATGGTAAGGTTTTACCGTTTTCACAACCTGAAAACAGCTTTCTTATGAGATATGATGGAGGGAAAAAGAGATAAAAAGGTAATTCTCACTGAGATTATCTGTTTCAATCGTTTCTCCTGATCACCTTTTTGCATAATACAAGTGTATTCGCCAGCATTGCTTCCCGTTACGTTACTGAAAATTGCTATCAAATTATCAATAGGACATATTTCCTCACAGGACTCACTTGATATTAGCAATCAGCACGCGTGAATGCGCGTCAACTCTGCTAGAAACATCCGTCAACACATGGTCTCGGAAGTCCCATTGTACATTCCTAAAACACTTCAGATTAAACGGATTCAAAATGAATCAAGCACCTACCATTCTTCGTCGTTGGGCACGGTACATCTCAGCTCGACATTGTCACCTTCATAGATTTCTTTGGGGTCTTCCTGAGAAGTAGCATGCTCAGAACGAGTCCAGCTAGTCTTCACATAAGGCTCACTCTCCGAAGCTCGAACTCTCTTTTCTTCATAGCTCGTCTGTAAAGAAAGATTAAGCTCATCAAGACCATTTGTCAGTGGTTTTGACTGTACCCTTCCATTTCTTTCGCCTTCGCATTTCAGATCGAGATCATCCTCTACTGTTGTATTCCACAGATATCCACTTTCGTAGGTTCCTTTGAGTTCGACCAGTTCATTGCTTTCAACATCTATCCACGGGGCGTCGGACGAGGCCCTAAACATGTACAATTTACAATTGCTGAACAGCACAACAAGTTTCTACAAGGCAAGCGTGGTTATGGGATAGCAAAAAGTGGCCCCTATGACAGTTTCTCAAAGAGTGGCCCCTATGACAGTTTCTCACTCTTTTTCTGGATGTCGCCCACGATTCCAAATATCTTACTGAACAGAGGTGTCAGGTGAATTGACAACATAAAATGAATTTGGTAGGACTGTTATAAAAACTTGCAACATTCTGTTGCCCTTGTAAGTTCTTTTGGTTATGAATATTGGCTAGAAATGTTCGAGTACTTTTCTACACGCAGATATACCTCGCAAAGCTGTGCTTCTTATATTACTCGAGATGGGAAGTTTTTGTAACACTGATCAAAAAATCGTAAACCCTCTCTATCAATGGTCATGCTCAATATTAATGCTCTGAAAAAGGATCACGCACTTTTTGATGGCTTTTTGTGGCTCTCTACTGAACACGGGTAACAGAGGTATATGCGGAAGAAATTCACCTGAGCATCGGTGATTTCGAGCAAGCCCATTGGCAATCTGAAGAAACTGATAAAACCCAAGAAAGTCATTAGCATAAGTTTGACCTCCTCTTTCTCACTGTGCAATCTTTGTGCTTAGTGGGTCTCTTTGGAAAACAAAACAGGACGAAAAAATAGTTTTTTCTTTTGCCATTTTCCTCGACGCAATGTGGAAACGTCCAGGTAGTTTTTAGACAAAACATACAAATTTTTAATTGAGCAGAGGATGTTTGAACACCATGAGTACGTTCTGTATACCCACTTCTTCAAGACCTCGACACCTATGTGAAGTACATCACGTCAAGAGCCCCTACTCCACATCTAATCGGTTTTTCAAGGGCCCTCATTCCAAGAACTTCCCCAGTATCACTCAGTGATGAGGCCGATGCTCATGCATCGTTCGATAGTGACAAAATAAATAAATAGAGCGATGATCGATGACACAGAGCAAACAACGTACTCTCTCCTCATGAAGCGAACCGAAGCCAGAGGAATGGCGGTGACGAGGCAGTTCACATGCAGTGGGGTCCCTACTTGGTAATACTGCTGATCGAACACAACCCAGCTGTTCGGAGACATCACGTCTATCCGGGCTTTGATGCGCTCATTTTGAACATTCACCTGAAGTAAGATATTTTCTTGGCCAGAAAATGTCAGATTTTTTTAGAAACAACAGAAGATCATAGAGAAAGTCTTTGAATGTCTGTCTGCAGTTAGAAAAACAAATCTGTGCATCATTTTTTGCAAAGAAAAGTTCCGAGTTAAAAGGGCAAAAGTTAATCAGTTATCGATATATTAAAAAGACTGAAGTTGTTCCGCCTCCCTCCAACCCCCCCCCCCCGTTCTCTTCTGCTCTCGTTAATAACACTCAGAAATTGCGCAAAACATTAAAGACTAATACACATGGTGCAACAGAACTTCAGAGAAGAGCAGGAATTGCTAAAGATTTGTACAAATGTTACAACACCCACTAATTATAAGTGTTTTTCAGACTAGGCAAGCTGAATCAACTTATGATGGAACTTTTTGACAACATTTAGATAATAGTATTCAAAATTTTTGGGAGTGCTGCTGAGTAATAGTTGAGAAATTCAGGAGCATTTTGCTCATACTTGAGCAAAAGATAAAGAATAGTATAGTAGCGATACAACGGCCGTGGAAGAAGGGAATTTTTCAAAAACGGAGCTTCCCTTATTTTGAAAAATCGCGACTACATTTTGAGATAAAAAAGAGGAAGTAAAATGTTTTGAGCTGCTAGCCGATGTTCAATGTGATAAGATTCACTTGACCAATTACCCAGGAAAGCAACTGAGTTAAGCAGAAAGCAAAAAAAAACTAACTAACCCTCCACTCTATGGTTCGCACGGTGTCCAGATATTCTATAGTGAGCACGTATCTGGAATCAAAAGAATCAATTTATGAGTTATGTAATTTTGTGACTAGCAGACGTATGACGACGCTTACATTCCGCTCATATCAGTTGCAGCATTCTTGATTGAGATTTTTTCAGTCACCCGTCCGCCATTTAATCTTTCGCTTGAGATTTGACGATCATAATCATTCACCAAGTTTTCGGTTTCATTCACGGTCTTTGGAGGTTTGATATACTTCTGTAATTAGTAAATCATTGCGAGGTTTGCTTTCTTGAACTCCGAAGATCCGCATTACTGACTCTAATCCATTTGGCATTGAATCCTGACAGATCGTAAGGGAAAGCTGCCAGCTGAGCTGATAAATTGATCGAGTTGCCCTCCATTACATTCACTTCTTGTGGTGTTCTATTGAGTACCTTGAATGGAATGGAATTTAATAGGACTGTTAACAAAGCATGCTGTATATTATAGGACATTTTAGAGGGAATCCCCAACAAATGCGGTTAACGAGGATCATCGGTCTCTTTTCGACATTTTAGTACTACGGTAGGGAATTTTAGTAGACCCGATTGAGAGCATATTGCAAAAAAAGGAAAAAACTGTTTAAAAGAGCTGATCGCATATTCTACATATAAGCACTGCATTTTACCAGAATCTCTAGCTCAAAAGTTACGCCATACAGTAAAAGCGGCATTCTTCATAATCATCAAAGATGCGAATATACAAATTAAGTTGCTTCACAGAGATCTGCACAAAGATATTTGTTGGAGTAAACGGATTTGGAACCATGCAAAAGGCACCAGTTTTGGAAATATCATGTATTTAAATAGCAGCTTTTACTGCTACCAAAATGATACCCACCTTAATTTGTTCCTTTTTAGGCGACACAATCACAGTCTTCTTAATCGTTTGATTGAGTTGTTTCTCAAAATACCAACCACAGACATATTGCCCACTGTCTTCAGAAGTCAAAGTTTCGATGGTGAGGGTGAGCGATAACATGTCATTTCTAACATGTTTTGTTTTTCTGATGTCGGGATGCTGATGCTGAATAGAGCAATTAGCGCTGAAGCTAGAAGGTAAATAAATTTCGTAAGCACTCGGCATGCGATAAACTTACTGCACATCTAGGACAGGTTAAATTGAGGTAATGTTGGTATCTGTCTTCTATACGACCTCTTCCTTTGAGCCTGAGGATGCAAATAAGCGAGTAATGCCCGCCAACATAGGGCCATGGATCTGCCTGCAATGGATGCAAATCATAGACTATGAAAAAAACAGATTTGAAAAACATGAAACTAATATTCCTCACCTCTTCAAATACAAGTTCGAGATCATTCTTTTGAGCTTCGCTAATGATTATGAAATAAGTAGCCGTATCGCTTGGTTCGCCTTTATAGGTACATACGAATTGCAATTGATTGCTAATTTTTTCCTCAGAGTTTTTACTGTTGACTTTGAAGCCAATCCTGGAAGATACAGGTTGCCGTAACCATATCGTGCCCAAAACGCTTGTTTCTTACCTGGGATCGTAGTGCTTCGATGCTGATTTCCAAACTTTATCATTGAACCGTAATTCGACCTCATCTTTGGTGACATGTCGTGAAGTTTTGCAAGGTACAACAAATTCAGGAGTGCTAATGACTAGACCCGGAAAGATGGTTGGCACAAAGACTTTTGAGCCTAAAAATCGACATCTACTCAAGCATCTTGCTGTACATATGCATGTTCTCACCCTTGACGAAAATGTGAATCTGCGAGGCTAGATTCGGATCGTCCTTGGAGTGGCAAGTGTAAGTTCCCGTATCACTTTCCTAAATTAAGAAATTGAAGTAAGAGCTAGCATAAAGCTGAATGAAACAAGTTATCATAGAATCATATGCAGGGCTCGGCACGAGGTGGCTTACAAGCAAGCTGGATATCGTTTTTGGGACGAAAAGCAAAGGGGGTTTCGTTTGTGACCGAAGAGACACGCAAAATTGGCTATTTGGCGACGTTTTTTTTAGTCGACGTTTCGTTTTTTGGAGGATTTTTAGGGAATATGGTGGGGGGTCAAAGGGGACTTCGTAAAAATACCCAAAAGTCAAGGGGGACTTCGTTTTTTGCATTTTCATCTAGCCACCTCGTGCCGAGCCCTGATCATATGATTCGATATGGCCACTTACAACAGCGACAGAGCACCGACAAAAACTCAGAGAGCTAAAATTACAATGAACTGCAATAAAAAATATTTCAATGTGTACAGTGTATCTTTTGAAAATATGCCAATGTTTGGAAGTAAAGCCTCTTTGTGAATTCTGCATTGCTCAAAAGTGTAAAGGCACTCAAAACGATTACTGTCACCACAAAATTGATGGTAATTATACAACAATATTCAGTTCAACAACGTTTTTTTAACACAATATTTCGTAACCAAAGACTCGTTGTACTAAAACTCGTTCGTACACTGAAAGAGACACAATCACTAAAATCGAGCTGGAATTTTCACATGTTTAAGTCCTCAGCAGCAGCACTGACAACGACTAGTTGATTTTCGCCAAAAGTGTTCAGGTTTTCTTAAGACGGTGAATCTGTGCAGATTACACGTGGTCTTTTATTTCATGCTGGAAAACTGAACAAGGATTCCGAGTAACAATCACATCGTTTTCTTGAGAACGCTCAAAAGTTTTGAGATTCACAGCTCTACAATCTTAAGCCTTTTTTCTGTTCCCTTAACAAAGCTCCAAACATAGTTCTCCTCCTCGCGATTTATGCATTTCTTACAATCTCGTCATGTTCCGAATGTTGTGCAATGACTTGGAACGTTCAAGACTGGAAATGGAACGTTTTGCAGAAACCACCAAAATTGTTTTGATTTTGCAAAGTATTCTCTCAAATGTAGAAGCTATGAATAACTAAGCGCATACAGCTAATAGTAAGTTCTTTCTAGGCTTTGTTATCAAGAAATGAGTCATGGAAGTGACTTTTACAATAACTATGCTACACTGACTTATAAAGAGTAAAAGCTCTCAAAATGTCAGACGTGATTCGATATAGAATAAAAGCTTTCGTACTTGAAAGCAAATAATAATAACCAGAGAGTGTTTTATAAAAAGTATCGGAACGATTCATGAACTTCGGCTTCAAACTTAAAAACAAGTTACTCCAACAAAAAACGCTAGTATTCAAAGACCTTAGGTGAAGGGATCAAGTAGAAAAGATTATAAAGCCGGTAACTTTTTTATAAGTTACTGCGAGAGAGATGAAAATTGGATCTTAATGACAACGAGACGGCAGTCATTTAAAGATCTTTGCAACACATAAATAACCGGATGGGATCGCAAAACAAACCATGATAATGAGCGAAATTGAGATCTCTGAGACAATGCGAATTCAAATAAGCTAGAGGGAGTAGCAGTATTAGGGCAGAGACGTAGAGGATATAAAGCAAAGGAAATTTTGTTTTGAAAAACCAAAGAATTTTGTAGTTCCACAGAGGAGATCATTCCGAAAGGTAGCGTTTGTAAGACAGGATTCAAAGGCAACATAGTTCAGATAGAGGTGATACCAAAATTTCAATGACGGCGCTTTTTATGGAAAATCTCAAAAAGGGTTAGTTGGATTTGCATCGAAGTTAAAGGAGCAAAGATAGGAGTTGAATGCTGCTACCTCACTCTACTACTGATCATTACCGTAACTTAATAGAACACCGGGAAATACAAGAACAAAACTATCACGCAAAACCCATACCTTCACATCAGATAGGCGAAGAACGTGCCCGTAAGAAACGTCTTCTATTTTATAGCGAGATTTAAAATCCTCTTCAGAATGACCCTGATTATCGTTGAGATTTGGTAGTAGAAATTCAATCGCTGGAATAGACACTTATGTAGATAACAGCTGCAGCAGGTATGGTTGTTTAGGAATTTATATATTTCACTATGCTTACCTTCATTCATAGCATCAGAACATGTTAGATGAATGGTGTCTCCTGGATTCAGCTCCACAAAATCACCGATGTTGGGATCATGCTGAAAACTACATTCTTAGACTGGATCAGACATAAAAGAGTTATGCTGACTGCGGTTTACCTGCGTCTCCTTGTCCGACATGAGGCTAGGTGGTGAAAATGCATAGATGCTAACTAGCAAAGAGAAGTAGACTACGTCAAACAGCATGTGCGATCGTCCTCATGAATTTTCTGGAACTGGCTATGGTTTTTACAGAAGGGGCCGTGAGCGGCACGAAGCGACCGATGAACAAATGAGTGGAAAATCGACGCCAGGAAGAGGCAGCAATTCCTATCTGGGATACACTTTACCCATTTGGGGACGATATCAGATTATCTCCTGGACGAGCTGCGAGTGCAATGAAGTGCAACGATTTCAGTAATAGTAAATGGACTCCAAAGTAATTAAACAGTCCGGACATCAGATCCAAATGAAGTAATAGCACTACGTGTAATTGTCGCCGGGGTTGCACAAGGTCATCGACGCAGCACACAATGCCCGAACGGGGGTGCAAGGGTAAACTCGTCTGCCTGCACCGGACACCGTCAACAACAACAATACACGCCTAATCCGCCTATTACGGTCCGTGAGTTACGGTCAGAGAAAATTAGCAGTGACCTGAGTTGGTTTGATAGCCAATGCGCTATTTACAGTGATCCGCGCGTTGAATTTTTTGTATGACTTGTTTTTGGAAACCGAATTAAAACACGGATTTTGAAGATGTGCAAGGCAAAATGTAATCAGTGAGTCAGGGATCAGAAAAACTCTTATGGTGCGTATCAAAATCACAATACATTCTCCCTCTTCAAAAAACTCCGTTTTCCAAGGTCATGGAGACGAAGCAACCAAATAACCATTTCCTATGACCTACAGTTAGTAGTAAGTATGAAGAGGCATCACACCCACTAATCTGATTTAATGTAACAAAGAGATATCTGTGTACAAGTACTGGTAGGGGAAGGGGAGTATCTTATATTCATGAAACGCACTTTAGTGTTAAAAACTCAAGCACCTGGCACGACTCCAAACTTTGGCATCCACTACGATATTAAAATTTTTAGTCTAAATCATTCATGTGTGTGCATATGATAGGCATAAATCATACCAAAAAGATAATATTTCTCCAAACTTCTAACAGCACAAGGGCAGAATGAACTTTTCCGTTTTTCTTGTTACGTTTGAAAATGTTTAAGGAAGAGACCGAAATATTCCACATACTTCCTACTATCCTACATACTTCCTATCAGTTTTAATGAACGAAGTACTTTATTATGTGTATCCGAAATCTTATTATGACAAAGTCAAAGATCGAAAAAAAACGGAAACCGTAACTTCTGGCATGACGCTCAAAAAGCAAGAAAGCTTTTACTTAGAATGATTGCATCATCAAACCAAAGGACAGTATTATTGAATTTCACTTAATCTTTTGGAATCTGTTAACGACCGAAAAAAAGGTTCCGAGAGCCTGCAATGATCAGCTGCATCGACGTGATTTGGCCATAACGTATTTTTGCTTCGGGTACCTAATGAATTACCCCCTCCAATATATCCCACAAGGAACAAAATCATCATAAAAGGATAAAATTTGTAAGTTTCCGAATATAATGCAAGATTCATGGAAAAACCTAAGCTTCAGGTAGGAAAAAATCAGCAACATCAATGCCAAATAGAATCTTTGTAGAATAGAGTAGAATTCAGTCCTATATATAACTCAAATTCAAAACATCCACAAAGGCTGTAGAACTACTAGAATAAGAACAAATTATTGAAGTTAACGGCGTTGGATCTATATTATATGAAGAAAAAAGATTGAAATAAAGATCCAAACATCTGGTTATGACTGGATAGCCAACAGCTGGTGGCTACAATTCAAAATCACACAGTCATAAGCGCTGGTGTCACATATTTGTAACGAAAGTCAGCAAAGGAATTGGCAAAGAACAAGATAGTAAGGAACATTAGAGAACATATAATATAATATATACAGTAGCTACGATCCATGAAGGCTAAGCGTGGAATGTGAATTGAGAAATGAGTGAATTTTTGCAATGAATGTTTCTGGTATCTCTGCCAGCGTGAATACCCAATGGAATGTTTGGTGAGGCTGGACAAAAAATTAACAAAAAAAACTACACGTACTTAGAGCTAAAAAAACCACTTTACTGTTGAAAGCTTTAGCAAAAAGGGGAATGTCATATCAAGCAAAACTGCAAGATAAGAGTAACGTTTGCAGTGAGCATCTAAAAAGGTGTAAACTCGGCGGTGTCTCAAAAGCAGATGATTCATCGTTTGAGTTTATCGATAAGGAAATTCGAAGACCGGAAGAGGAATAGCAATCGGCTGCCCACGCTGTGCGAACACCAAGCTGAGCGCTTCCACCACCTTGACGCCAACGTTGGCGGCGCGACCGCACGTGTTTGCCACCACACCAGCGAGAAAAAAGTACGATCGATCAATGGGAAACCGTCGCGCGAACTGTTCAGATGCCGAAGCCAACGATCGATAAAATGATAGTGAAGGAACAGAGGCAGAAAGGCTGAAGAATCCGTGAAACATTTGCGAGAAGTCGTGCAGGGACTGTACGATGGCCGCGAGGAGAGCAGCGGTACGTATCGTCGGCCATGCATCGACCGCCGCTCGAACAACAAACATTGAGGTCAGCAGACTCGCCAGATACCATTTGCATATCTGGCATATCAAAGTCGCCAGCAATCACGATCACGCTTCGGATTCCTGGGATTCTGTGAACAAGTCTGTGAAAACAGATTCGTCACAAGTGGTCAGATACTAACTACTAACAATAAGAACTACCAAGAAGAGAAGGATACTTGGTGACCGTGGCTTTTAAAATTCTCTTCTATACCTGCGAAACGCGAATCCGGATGGAATTACGATTATTTTTTACGGGAAAGTTGCACTACTGCGGGAGTCACAATCATCAAAACAGAATTTTGTTGCCTTTTTAACTGCTAGATATGAATTGGTTATCTTAGTACTATGATACTATACTTAGTAATAAAGATTTTTCTAACAGTATCAAACGGTAAACTACACCAACATTGCCAATTTCAACTATCCACACGTACTCAAACTTTATTAGAAAAAACGTTCATAACTTCCTTCAGAGGATAGTTTCGCAGAGTGAGGGGACAGTATCAGAATAAGCGTTTCGAGATGATATGCATATCTCAAGAAATACATTGCATCAAATATCTTCTCTTTGTAAGAAGAGAAGGAGAAGTCGCAGCTCAAGTTGTAAAAATATGAATATCATCAAAAGCAAACGCTGTTTAATGTGCTTCTTGTCTGCTGAGGGACCCTCCGAAACAAGTTGTTAGCCTTTAAAGGTATGAGTGGCTTAAAGTCCTAAAGTAAGGTCTGCTTCAAAAGCCTAAGAGCGCGAAGTTCTAGAAACTCAATTGTTTTTTCTAGGCCGCTGAACAGAAACCGAAAATTCCCGCTGAAATTCATCAGATGCACACTTCCATAGTTCAGAACTTCTTTAAAGAATCGCTCAGCAGATACGGAAGTTAGATAAGAAATCAGCTTCGCAAGATATTTTCACATTCCTTTACAGTATGCCACTGCAAGTTGGTATCTTTTCCTTGTAACAGGCATCAACTAAGATCTTTGTTTCCGCAACTATAGATTATTTTGCTCTTTGCATGTGTTTGATTAGAGAAGTGGCAGCCACTAATGTAGGACGCGATAACATCAAAACGTAGCAAAATTCAACGATGATAAAACTAGTATCAAGTTCCAATTGAAAAACAAGATATCGAAGTATTAAGCAGGCTCATCCGACTCTATGAACTATACCTGTCATTGATTGCTATGGCTTTATCTATAAGCTTTTGCTATGGTTAGTTAATTCAGAGTAAAAATAGGCTCATAATCGGTACCAGTACAAGAATAAAGTGCTTCAAAGAATCTTACATCTATCAGGCTATGTTTCGTGTTATCAAGAATCCATAAGTTGAACTCTCAGCTATTAACACCACACACATGGAATAGCGATAGTATTAACAGACGAGAATATAGTGGCTCAACCTAATTTGTAAAATATCACAATGCAGGGAAAGACACTTTGAATCGAAGCTATTTCGCAGCTATTTATGTCCACATCTTCTAATGATATTCTTGGAAGGAGAAATGTCACTTCTAAAGTGTTTGCTTATCCTTTTTTGGGCGAATCATAATTTTGGGATACCTTAAAATAGTCGCGAATAGTCCTCAGAAATGAAATTAAAGTAACATTATCACGAATATGACCAAAGCGAAGTGGAAAACCTTGTACGGAGATCTCCTGATGTAGTGATAGAAATGACTAGAAATTCATATAGACAGAATGCGGGTAAACGTATAGCACTGAACAAGCCTTCTTAAGATAAACATTAAAAATAAAAATAAAAATAAAACTCAAATGAGACTTTTATTTGTTCCCAAAGTCTACAAGATTGTTTACGACCACAGCACCTACTAATAATTCCAGGTGACAACCATGCAGGCACGAGATTGACTCATTCTTGGGAAGTGACAGCAAAAAAGCGTGGCTGAGGTGAAGTGCGGATCAGTGGCGTTGGATGTGAGGACGGCAGAGGTCGCCAGCTGTTTGCACCCTCGCGATGACCTCGGCATGCGGGCCGATTTCGGTCATTTACATGGGCCGAATGACAGATGTCCGCTCTATTCTATCCGTTGCACTGTGCGTATGAGGCGTGAAATCGCGCTGTGCACTGTATGAATGCGCCACTAGGCAGAATTACTTGTTAACGAGAGCTGGCGCAGGTTTGGTTACTGTAGTGATACTGTATCGCTAATAACATCCACATGAAGGCTTTTCTTCAGAAAAGACGGAAGAGGACTAGGAAGTGCTGAAAAGTGATAGAATGCCCAAAAAATGACTTCTCACATTTCTGAATTTGCCTTGTCACCCAACATGTCTTATGGCAAACGAAAATCTGGTTATTTCTATGTACTAACGATCGAATGTTTTTGGTTTGTGAATGCCTTCGTGACTTTATATCACTTTACGTTCTTGATGTCTGAGACAAGCTGGAGCATGTATGTTCGAGTTACATTTTTTACATTGCACTCTGAGTTGTCATAAATAAAGATGAATGATAAGAAGTGCTCTTGCAGATTTCAGCTTTCACAGACTGCAAAGCATAAATTTTACTGATCGGGCTTTTATCAAAGATTGTGCGCATTCAAACACCATAGAAGTCTACTTCACTGTAAATCCACCA